CACATACAGCAACTAGAAGAATGTGCAACTATGACTTACAACTATCGCCTGGGGTTTTAGGGGAAAAAAAAAAAAAAAAAAATATTTATGACATATCTTGTCTTTCTAAACAACTGTTTTTGATTTTGCCTAAATCAAAGTCACACCCCACAGTCAAAATTTTTTTAAAAACTGTTAAAATGTCTTTTATGAATAAACTATATTTGGATCTCCTAAAATGGCCATTAGGTAACACAAGTTGGTTTTGATGATTAAATGAAATAATTGTGCTGAAAAAGCTACTAAAAACTGAAAAGCTGGGGCCAGCCTGGTGGCGCAAGCGGTTAAGTGCGCGTGCTCCGCTGCGGCGGCCCAGGGTTCACCGATTCAGATCCCGGGCACACACCGACGCACTGCTTGGCAAGCCATGCTGTGGCGACGTCCCATATAAAGTGGAGGAAGATGGGCACAGATACTAGCCTAGGACCAGTCTTCCTCAGCAAAAAAAGAGGAGGATTGGCAGATGTTAGCATAGGGCTGATCTCCTCACAAAAAACAAAAACAAAAAAATGAAAAGCTAGATAGATTTACTTTTTCATGGTCAGAACATTTAATAATGGCTATATCTGAGATTCCTTAGTTTTTTCTTTAAATTGTGAAATTGTTAGGGCTGCCTAAATAGCTAGGATAAATATAGCCAAAGGTTAGTGTAAGTTAGCATAAAGGAAGCCATCTTGTAGAGGGGAACCATGTTGAAATTATAAATGACCCTGATCCACAAGACACTCCCTTTGCTTGTCACCAATGCTTTAGTTCGCACGTAGCCTGGATAAGTCCGCACCTGCTCATGAGCAATATGCATGCTCTGCTACTTTCTCAGCCTTGGCTTGTACATAGACCTCCTTACTGCGATAAGGCAGTAACTTTGTTCTTTAAGTTTTCCCAGGAATGTAACGACCTCCAGAAAAGAGCCCTCTGCTGGCATCCATCACCGGTGACAAGAAAAAGGGATGATCTGGCATCTCAAGGACTGCACCACCAGATGGTCACATTCTGAGACCCTCCTTCTTTCAGACTGTTTGCCCTACATAACTGCTTCAAAATATTGCAGTTTTTTTGGGCCGGCCCCGTGGCTTAGCGGTTAAGTGCACGCGCTCCGCTACTGGCGGCCCGGGTTCGGATCCCGGGCGCACACTGACGCACCACTTGTCCGGCCATGCTGAGGCCGCATCCCACATACAGCAACTAGAAGGATGTGCAGCTATGACATACAACTATCCACTGGGGCTTTGGGGTGAAAATAAATAAGTAAATAAAATCATTATTTTTTATTTATTTTTTTAATTTTTTGTTTATTGCAGTAACATTGGTTTATAACATTGTAAAAATTTCAGGTGTACATCATTATACCTCTATTTCTGCATAGATTACATCATGTTCACCACCAAACTACTAATTACAACCCATCACCAAACACATGTACCGAATTATCCCTTTCGCCCTC